CGCTGGCCGTCTGTCTTTGTACTCTGCCTACTACACTGTGAGGTGAGGATGTCAGTTCCCTTTCTAACAGGGGTGGAAGCTGAGGTTTGGGTAAGTGCAGTTAAGTGCCCAAGGTCCAGAGTTACTGATGGAGCTGCTGCATGCTAAATCGCTTCAGTCGTGTTCAACTCTTTGAGATGGACTGTAACCTGCCAGGCTCCTCTGTCCATGGGATTTTCCAGGCAAGAATTCTGGAGTGAATTGCCATGCCCTCCACCAGGGGACCTTCCTGATGCAGGGATCAAACCAGCATCTCTTGTGTCCTCTGCATCTGCAAGTGTGTTCTTTACCACTAGCGCCACCTGGGAGATGGAGCTGCAGGGACAAGCTGACCCTTCATCTGTTCACTCAACAAACATTTGTGAGGACGCCTCCTCACACAGACACCAGCTGAACACTGGCCAACTCAGCAAGGACAGACTAAGCAGACTTAATGCCATAGGAAAGTACAGGCCAGGACCCAAGGACCCCCTGATTGCTGACTGAAGAAACCCTGGGAGGGAGATGTTAGAATTCTCACTGCTCCTGTGAGTGGAAGCCATTGCCCAACGGAGCACCCAAGTCCCCCAAGAGCTGGCCAGGAGGCCTCATCACCTGATAGAAAAGTAAAGAAATAGTGCAGAAGCAAGAAGGGGGCAGGAGCGAGAGGAAGAGTTTTCAACACACTGTTTTTAATTTCATACGGTGTGATCAGCCTACTTAACAACAACAACAAATATATATATATGTATGATTTAAACTTAATGATTAGAACTTATCAGAATTAGATGTGTGTAACAGAGATGGCTAAGTGCCTCCACCATCCATTCTCTTCCTCTATCACAGAAACCCTCAACTTTCAGTTAGGAACATGGATGCCTGGAACAGAAGGTACATCTCCCTGCTTCCCTTCCATCTAGGTATAGCCACGTGGCTAAGTTCTGACCATAGATGTGAGTGGAAGTGTGCAGAAACTTTTAAGAAGTGTCTTAGAGAGTTCCCTGGTGGTCCAGAAATTAGGACTCAGTGCTCTCACTGCTGGTCAGGGAACTAAGATCCTGCAAGCTGCAGTGTGGCCAAAAAAAAAAAAAAAAGCCTTAGAATGCAGGATGCACATTTCTTTCTCTCTTTCCTTCCTGCTAGCTGGATGCAAGCAGAATGGCTGCAATTCAAGCAGCCATCTTGGGCCACAAGGTGGAGACTACATATTAAGAACAGCAGGACAGGAAATTAGGAGGAACCTGGGCTTCTGATGGCATGGAACTGCCCCACCAGCCCCATCCTGCTTGCCTTAGGGCGTCTTCTATGTAAGAAGAAAGAGTGTCTTTCTTGCTTAAGTAACTGATATTTTGGGGTTTGTGTCATCACAGTTGCACTTGCCCTGAGTGGCACATCATATAAAATACCTGATTAGCATTTGGCCGATTACAGATATCCCACCCAGTTGAGGATCCAACCCAGTCATACATGTATGATGGGAGCGGAGTAGAAATGAACCCAGGCCTGTGAACCTGGGAGGGAAGCTGACACAGAGAAAACCACAAAATTCCACTGCCCTATCCCAGCCCCAGCCCAGCTGTTGGTCGTGGGTCCTTAGTCTCTGAAAGCCAACGCCACCTAACAAGATGACATGTGTTAAGCCACATGCTTTTCTGACTCTATGTTTTGCCAATTGAATTAGATTTTCCTCTGGTTGATATTGGAGTGAGTCTTCATTTCCTGACCATCTGTTGTTTGGGTGGCAGGAAAGTCCTCTGAGTGCCAGAGGAGAAGCAGCCTAGATTGGACGTGCTCCACAGACGCCTCAGGAGCAGAGTGACTGACGACGGGCTCCCAGGGAGGCCCCCACAGCCACACTGCACTCAGGGACTGCCAGCTCCGAATCTGAGCCTGGGTCCAGAGTCCTTCTTGCTCTGGACACTGGTAGTATCATTCAGTTTAAAAAAGAAGGAAATTTTGACACGTGACACATAGTTGAACCTTGAGGACATTGTGCTAACTGAAATAAGCTGGTCATAAAAAGACAGATACTATATGATTCCATGTGTATAAAGCACCTACAGTTATCAAATTATAAAAACAAAAAGTGGAATGTGGGGTGCCAGAGACTGGGGGAAAGAGAATGGAGAATTAGTGTTTAATGGGGACGGTTTCTGTTTGGAATGATGAAAAAGTTCTAGATCTTTTGTACAACAAGGTGAAATCATTTAACACTGCTGAACTGCAAACTTAAAAATAAGCAGTTAAAAAACAATTACCTGTATCTATATTGATGGATCTCATGTCTCATTGATCACAGACCTTGGAGAGTATCTCTGTGACTGTATTAATCTGTGTCCAATCAGATGGCAGGGACCACACAGTGACCTGAACAGGATGTCTAATAGGCCCAATCAGTAAGCACTGATGAGACCTGAAAGAAAGCCCTAGGAAACCCCAGGACTGAGGGAGGGCACTTGAGGAGGTCAGCTTGGAGGGAGCTGGACCTCAATGGAGGAGGCATGCCTGAACCCACTAGTTGGCAGGGAAATCTGCTGGCCTGTGTGGGCCAGGCTGGTCTTCAACCACCACAGCACAGGTGCTGTGCCCAGTGGCCTGGGTGCGTAGCAAATTCGAGGCACCAAAAAGGAGCTGGAGGCCGAGAGTGGGGAATCTGAATCTAGAGGCCTTGGGAAGGTAACCACCAGGTCAGGGCTGCAAGGTCACAGGAATGTCATTTGGGGTGCATGGGCACCAAGTATCCTGAATCCCGCACCTCAGACCCCCAGGTATCAGAGCTCCATCCTCTTTCCACCCTTCCAGTTCTCTGAACTGGGGGAGCCTGACATTTTGCTCACCAGGAAGGAAAATTATCCAAGGGTATTTGTAGCTCAGAGGCAATGAGCTGACCTTGGGGGTAAAGGGGCCTCTAGGGCAGGATGCTAAAAAAAAAAAATACCCAATCAAAAACTGTAAAATTGTTTTATCTGAATTTACTTATCTGAATAAAATCTGGTAGATTGGACTTTATAAAATTGAAAACTTCTGCTTATCAAATGACACGACTAAGAAAATAATAGACAAGACACAGATTTGGAAAAAATACCTGTATTTGAAAAAATCACTTGTGGTCATAGTGTGTAAAGAACTCCTTTAAAAATCAAGGCTGAAAAGATGAATAACCTAAAATTTTAAATGTGCTGAAGACTTTAACAGACACTTCACAAAAGATGATATACGAATGGCTGGGCCCCTGAAAGTGTGCTAAGTGTCATCGATGAAGTACCTCCACCAATCATTTTAACATCTAAAAAATTAAAAGATAGAAAATAACTGGAGTTAGGGAGGCAGGGAGCAACTGGGACTCATGCTTTGCTGGTAAGAAATAGTACAGCCACTTTGAAAATGGTCTGGTGGTTTCTTATAAATATACACAAGAGATTCCTCTCTGTTTGGCCAAGAGAAGTGAAAACATGCTTACACAAGTCCTTACACACTGCACTAAGAGTAGTCTCATTCATAACAGCCGCAAACAAGGGCCACCTTGACGACTGTCTGCAGGTGAATGTGAAAACATGCTGGGTGCCCCCGCATTGGGGTGGGCTCAAGAGGGAAGAGGGATGGGCTGCTGATACATGAACAGCTCTGATGAATCTCAGAAGCTTTTTGTGAGTGAAAGAAGCCAGAAACGTAATAAATTAATCCATTCATTTGTTGATTCAGAACAGGCAAAGCCGATGAGGACAGGGGTAGCCCCTGTAGTGGGGAGAAAGGGCTTGAACGCACAGGGGCCTGAGGAAGCTTTCTTGGGGATAGCAGTGTTCTAGACTTGATATTCATGATGGTCAGCCTGTACAGTCCTCAAAACTCATCAGTCTGGACCTCCCAGATGGGTGTTTTCTTGGTGTATGTGAGTAATAATGTGAAAGTGAAAGTTAAGTCACTCAGTCGTGTCTGACTCTTTGCAACCTCATGGACTGTAGCCCACTAGTCTCATCCGTTCACGGGATTTCCCAGGCAAGAGTACTGACGTGGGTTGCCATTTCCTTCTCCAATGTGAGTAATGATCCATTGCTAAAATCTAAAACATGTCTCACCCTGTCTAGCCCTGTCCAACCCACAGGATGCCATATCCCAGTGGGCCCCTTCTTAGAGGGAGACCCAACCACGCAGAAGAGAAAGCCTGAAGATGGTAAGAAGTTTCTGTCTGAAGAGGAGAAGCAGCTCCATGTGATGAATCAGCCAAGGATCAAGCTATGAAATGATATTTCACTCCACTGAGCAAAGACCAGGGCAGTGGACTTACTGCCCTGACACTTCCCAAACAGCCACGGTTCCCTTCTTTCTTGTGAACGAAACTCCAGTGAGTTGAGATGATGGTTTGGAACTCAGTCTCATCTGGCTGTTAAGAAGACAGGAAGAGGTGGTATCTATTTGAGGGTAATCCAGTTAAAATTTGGGGGTTCAGTTACTAAAAATCAAGAGGGAAAGAATGAATACTGGATGGCAATCTCTGCCCCAGGGACAGCATCTTCAGCCCAGGTGACAGGTGACTGGGCCAGTTCTGTTCCATATTTCCGAGCCTCCCTTGCAGTGAGGGGTGACCCTAAGACTTAAAGGGCAGTCTGCTGGAGAAATGCAGAACTTCTGCTCCAGAAGGGGAACAGATGTGGCTGTTGGTCTTCTCCCTGTTTCTCCCTGGTCTGCACACAGATGTGATACCTGAAGCTGTGGGAGTTCAGTTGTGATCATGAGGGAACAACTCCATGGAGAAGGCCAAGATCATTGCAGAGTTACTGTCCAGACAACATCAAGCTTCTGAGCAAGGCAGCAGCTGTTTGGGTCTGATCTAGTGATGGGAGGGATAAAACTATGTCTATTATTGATACCCCATAAATTCCTAGTGGATAGACAAAACTTAGCTTTAAGCCAGCTGTGACAGCCACTCCCAGGATGAGTTCTGAGGATGTGGTGAGTGCTAGGAGTTCTCTGGCTGCTGTTACCCAGGTCAGACAGCAGACCAGAACGGAAGGCACACATTATTGGCACAATTTGCGATGCTGCCTAAAAACTAACTCGCACTGCCTTAATTGTTTCTCCTGATGTCCCAATTTCGAGGTGAAGAGTGAGCATCTCACCCACTTTGGTGTTCCCATGACCACGGGCCTGTGTGGTTCCTGGAACCCCCCTCCAATCAGCCTGCTGCCTCTTTCCATCCCTGGCTGGGCTGTCAGGAGCCCAGTGTGGAGGGGAGGAAACGCTTACCTGAATCCACTCTAATCAGCATGTGTTTTAGAAGCAATTTCTGGGCAACATAAGAAAAAAGGCAGAAAAATAAATGCTGTCATTTGCAATTATGGCTGATGCTTTTAAACAGGAAAAGAGCTTCTGAAATTCCCAGTCCGATTGTCTTTTAAATACACAGGGCCAAGGGTGGACACCACAGGTAGACGAGTGGCAGTAATTGCTTCCTGCCCCTCACCACAGCTCAGGGGTTAGCAGCCAGCTGAACCAGAGCCCAAGGGAGGGAGGGCAGCTGGTAGGACCCACTACTGACCGCTATGAAGTTGGGCCTCACGCCAGAGGCGTACCCGTCTCAGGGGATGACCCAGGGTGACACCACCATTGCTGGCCTTAGTGATGGTATGTGCTGTATTGAAGGAGGACCTGCCTCCCCAGTCGGGAGCTGGGCACCAGGATCCAGGGGCACAGGGGAGAGGGCAGACCCCAGACCAAGGAATGTCACAGGAGCAGCTGCAAGAGTTACTCAGGCCATAACTGCATTAGACTCCCCTTCTCAGTCAGTCACTAAGTGGCCGGCTCCCTCTCTGGAGATCAGAGCCAGCACGCACCTGAGCCAAGCCAGGGGGAGGTGGGCAGTGACTTCAAGGGGCAACCAAACCAGGCACAAGAGCCAGTGGGGGCAAGAGGCGGACTCACCTTCCCCCACTCCCTGCCTTTTCCTTCCTCCCTTCCTTTCTCTCAGGTTCTCTCTGTCTTCCTACTCCCATATTTCTCTCTCTCTTTCTCACGGCTCCCTCTCGCTTCTGTCCATCTCTGCACTTTCAAATCTCCATTTTCTCAGCATCCTTGACAATAAATGCAGGCAGTGAGGTGAGGCAGTGACTGTGTGCCCTTCCTGCACCCTGATGGATTGAGAGCGGAGTTCCACGTTAGAAGGCTCTCCCATCCTCCCACTGTACCAGCCGTGTGACCTTAAGTCAAGCATCCCCTCTGCCTCAGGTCCCGCCTGTGAGATAGAACTAAATGGACAATCACACGCGGAACTTTGCAAAGTGCCCACAGGTTTGGGCTTTTCTCTGCTCCTGATAATCACGTCACAGCGTTGGACTCATGTGCTCCGTGGCACTTTTAATCCTCCAACTGCCTGGATTTGCCTTGTTCTCATGCAGGCCCTGAGCCAAGGCCAAGAGCCTCAAGGGATTTGGGGCACACCACAGCCTGGCCATCTTCCTCCTCTCCTCCCTTTCAGCTCTCAGGCACCTCCCTAGGAGGCAGCCTGACACAGCAACTCTCTGCAGCTTGAATTTTGGTGATGGCCCCTATTTGTGACCAAGTCCTGAGCCTTGTGACCCATCCTGCGTCCCTGTCCGCTTGAACCTGGCCTGCACCGGGGGGAGCTGCCCCCTCACAGCAATCATGTGAGAGAGCTCTGGCCTGACCTCCAGGCTTTCAAGTTCTCTCCTCTATCCATTAACTCTGCCATCCTCTGGGCCTCAGTTTCCTCATCTATAAAATGGGATAATAGTATCCACAGTTTGACTTGCTATGAGCAATGCATGCAAGCCAGTCCCCCTCCCTCCGGGACACCATTCACCAGGATCAAAGGTTGATGTTCCTCAGCATCCAGGCCTGAGGAGGCAGCTCTAGCACAGTTCAGAGAAGTAAGACCAAGGCCTGAGGCCAGCCTTGAGATGAGTGGGTCCCCCGGGTTCCCTCTGCCCAAACCCTGGTGACTAACTTCTGCACCCACTCCTCTGTCCAGCCAGCCCACACAGGGCCTGCCCTGAGGGGTCCGTAAGGACAGTACACTCAGCAGATGGTGGGCTGGGAGCAGAGGTCACCTTTGAGGGGGATCCCTTGGTATCACTGGGGGTCTGTGGGTCTCATAGGGTCTTGGATATCATGAAGGTCATGAACATCACAGGGGCCATGAGCGTCACTGAGGCCTTGTACATCACAGGGGGTCATGGACATCATGGGGGCCCTAGATACCATGGAGCTATAGACACCATAGAAACCATGGGAGCTATAGGCAGCAAGGGGGCCAGGGGCATCATGGGCATCATGGACGTAATGGAAGGACATGGACCTCATGGAGGGATATCAGCATCGTGGAGACCACCAACTTCTGGAGCCAGTGAGGAGGGAGATGTCCCTGGTCTTAGGCTGGGCTCTCACTTTGGCCTAAGAGGGTGGTGCCCAGGTGGGTTATCCCAGCCCCATCCCTGGGGATGCAGGACCAGCACTCTGATATGCTCTGAAGTGTCCCTGCTCCTACCTGGCCTGCACCCTCTCCCACATCCACTTCTGGGGAAGCTTAGGGAAGCTGTCACCTGAAGGGGAGAGTGAAGCCAATAGATGTGCCTTTGACTCGGGATCAGAAAGACCAGCAATGCTTTTTAAATTGCTTCTTTCAACTTCTTTCTGGTTATAAAATAAGGTAGGTTATAAATAATGTAGTGTTTTCTCCCTAACTGTGTTTGTATCATTGAAATAATTTAATTTTGCGACCTCTCCCCATAACAGTATAGTGTCAGCTATGACAATTGCACAGCAAGCATCTCTTGTAGTGGTTATGTAATATTCTATCATGGAGGGGCTGACAAATTATCCTTTCCCTGGCATACATTTCAGTTGCCTACAATTTTTCATTACTTCTTATAGTGTTAAGGTGAATTATTCATAATGATTTTTATCTTATTAGACAACATATTTTTAGAATAGAGTCCCAGCAGCAAAATTATTTGGGTCAGTGTGAAAGTCGTTCAGTCATGTTCAACTCTGTATGACCCCATGGACTATACAGTCCGTGGAATTCTTCAGGCCAGAATACTGGAGTGGGTAGCCATTCCCTTCTCCAGGGGATCTTTCCAACCCAGGAATCGAACTGGGATCTCCTATATTGCAGGCAGATTCTTTACCAGCTGAGTTACCAAGGGAAGTCCCTATTTGGGTCAGAGGATATAAATATTCTAAAACCCCTTGGTATAGATTGTCAAATTGTCGTATGGAAGAGTCACTGTGTTTGTACATGTTTGTCATGTAGAAACTGTGGAAATTTGAGCACCTTCAGGATTTGTTGTTTATTGTGAATCATGATTTCAATATATAGATCTTTAGTTCTGAGTCTACATTTTTTTTCTTTTGATTCATTGGCAGAGATAATGTTCAGTTCAGTTCAGTTCAGTTCAGTCACTCAGTCGTGTCCGACTCTTTGCGACCCCGTGAACCACAGCACACCAGGCCTCCCTGTCCATCACCAACTCCCAGAGTTTACCCAAACTCATGTTCATTGAGTTGGTGATGCCATCCAGCCATCTCATCCTTTGTCGTCCCCTTCTACTCCTGCCCCCAATCTTTCCCATCATCAGGGTTTTTTCAAATGCGCCAGGTCTTCGCATCAGGTGGCCGAAGTATTGGAGTTTCAGCTTCAACATCAAGAGTTGGTCAAATGATTTTCTTGGTCCCATACATCTGGGTGTGATCACCTGACTAATTCTCACCACGTGGATGTGAGGGGCAGTGATCTGCTACTAGACTGAAATATGTTGGGTCCCTGGGTACCACTTGGTTGAAAAGAAGGGGAGCCCCCTTACCCACATTAGGTGTGTGGGAGTGGGAAATAAACCATACTCTGTTAGCCACCAAGATGCTGGGGTTTATCCGATAACAAAGCAGAATTGGGCCTCTCGATCAAAATACGCACACTATCTATCACTTTAAAACAAGTAAGTGGCTTTAAAAAATAATCAGTTGATGTCTCCAGTAGTTTCTGTTGGTCAAGAATTCAGGAGTCACCCTGCAGAGTGGCTCTGAGCCAGGAGAGAAAGGCAGAAGCCACAGTGCCCTCTATGACTCAGCCACAGAAGTCAAACATCATCACCTCTGCTGTAATTTATTGGCCAGATAGTCTGGCCTTGATTTACTGTAAGAAGAGGCTATAGAAGGATGTGAATAAGAAAGCAAAGATTATTGCGGCCACCTTAAGGTCAGCTCTCTCCCTACCTAAATCTACTTTAGAAATTGATCCTTTAAAGATGTCATAGACAGTGCTTCCCTGGTGGCTCAGGGGTAAAGAATCTGCCTGCCAATGCAGGAGACACGGATTCGATCCCTGATCCAGGAAGACGTCACATGCCTCGGAGCATGCCCACAACTGTTGAGCCTGCGCTCTAAGGCCTGGGAGCCACAACGGCTGAGCCCACATGCCGCAACTATTGAAGCCCCTGCACCCTAGAGCCCATGCTTTGCAACAAGAGCAGCCACTGCCACGCTCATACACCACAACTAGAACTGCTCCCACAACTAGAGAAAAGCCAAGGCAGCAACAAAACCCAGCATAGCCAAAACCATAAATTAAAAAAATTAATTTTTTAAAATCATGGATATACACAAAGACTTAGGTACCAGGAGAGGATAGTCACTGAAGTATTGCTTTTAGAAGCAGAAAAAAAGGGAGGGGACATAATGTCCATTATGTTGAATAAGGCATAATGTGATATTAAAATAGAATTGTATGTAGTCATATGTTGCAGAATGATTTTATGACATAGAAAGATGTACTTATAATTGACAAAACATAGCTAGAATGATTCTGCTGTGTAAAGAATGAGTCTTTTATTATTTATTGCACTAGGTTTTCATTGCTACATGTGGGCTTTCTCTAGTTGTGGCAAGGAGACGTTCCTCTTTCTTGCGGTGCACAGGCTTCTGATTGCAGTGGCTTCTCTTGTTGCAGAGCACAGGCTCAATAGTTGTGGCACACAGGCCTAGCTGCTATGCGACACGTGGAATCT